CACTTTTTTGTAGTTACCAGCTTGTAGTTTAAAAAAAAATCAAAACMCTCCCATTCAAACTAGATACAAGTATGTCCTTCTCCTAATATATTGAATGAACCTTCCCTTACACCAAGGTAAAACCCCTAGACACATAATAACGAGTTTGCTGCTAACTTGAAACTTTTGTAAAAGGGGAAGAGAATATTATCAGGACCTTCGTGATAAGTCTTTGATCAATTTCAAACTGCCTTACTATTTTAACATTGATTCACCATGGCGATCAATGGAGGAAGGACGAAAAGGTCAGTAGGACCCACCTCCATTTATCCTCCCATTTGTAGATATATTTTAAATTCACGTCCATTTCACATTTTATTTGTTCCAGTTTGTAAATAGAAATTTGTTACAGTTCAGTTATATATATATATATATATTCATAGAAAAACTACAGGACCCACGCACCTCTTCAAACAAATGACATACAACTGATTGGCATGCACTACACTCCAAAAAATGGTTAATGGTTGTTTCTGATCCATTCAGAAACGTTGGTTCGATTCCAACAAGCCATCATATAMGGAGTTGAGAAACTGATCAAAACTTGCAGACAATTCACATCCACCATACAACTAATACTCGGGTATGCACAGATCGATTGACATTACAAACTGCGCGCAGTACTGATACCTTGAATCTATTCTTGTCGGACTATAATGCAGTAAGTCCGATGCATAAGTCGGTTTACGATAAAGGCATGGAGAGGAGTGTGTTTACAAATATACTGATATTTATCGTATTATATTTTRTGTCAAGATATAGGTTCAATTGTGGCTGAAACTTCTGAAAAGAAATGAAGAAAAACAAAAACCAAAAAACTAAAAAAAAACAAACATGGATTGCAAATTTATCAAGTTCAATGTGTGTAGAGACTGTGCATTTTAAAGTACACAATGAACAAACAGGATTYCCGGTTTAGAAATTAAAAAAAGAATGAAAAACTAAAATTGACTACGATTCCCTCGATTCCACGAA